TCACGGAAGCGCCATAATAATTCGAATAAATGGCGCATTCAGAAATTAGTGTGTTGAAATCCCTACCGATGATGTCGATTCATGAAATCAACTATGTACTTACACCTTCCATGGCTAAAAGTTTAACTCACTTGCACCATACCACTCCGCCGAGTTCTCAGGTTCTCAAAGAGACCTATTAGTTAACATGAATTAGCAAATGGAACGAACTGATGGACGCCATATACGTGCGCTTGTTCGCTAGGAAGTGGGGAAGGATGCTGGGGTAAGTTGGGAAAGCTGGATCTGGCGCGGCGCGTCCTTTCCTCCACCATTGCGGACTCTTGCCAGCCTGCACTACAAATTTGTGAAAGACGTTTTGGCACCGCCCCAGCATCAGGAACATAGAGTATTCCTCCTCTGACATCTCGCGAACTGCGTATGCTCCAGTGTTCCTATATTTGCAAAGTATGAATGCGGCTAACCGTTTCATCAAGAAAACATTGATTACTGATTATTATCCAGGCTTGATGGACAAGCAGCGCTGTTACCAGAGGATACCTCATCATCATTGCTATCCCTTCCTGAAGATATCTCCAAGCCACAGACAAGAGGGTTTCGAAAAGTCGTTCCCAGAGCTTGTCGTGCCTACAATGCTGATCTCGAAGCTAACCAGGTTCCTGCTTGATTGAATTTTCTTTTAACAAATTTGAAAATACTCTCAGCAGAGTTTTTTTGCTTCTTGTCGTTTTTCCTGGACAAATGATCATTATTCAGGAAGTTATGCTCATAAATGAATCCGCCAATAATCTCAATCCGACGCCAACAAAGCTTATACGCTATTCCCTTCGATCACGTCAAAGAGATCCGGTTTCTATAGCACTGGGCGGTGATTCGGTAAGCAAATCAAACGGCGTATTTTTTTGAATCATTAAAAGATTCTCATTTGTTATACATTTAGCCGTTCTGTCCGATCCGCGGTTCACCTATTCACTGAAGCTCCATGTGCAGAAGTCTCTTTGAGAAGAAATCCTCATGTTTAATTCACTTAATTGTTTTACATTGTGACCCATTCCGACGTTAATATGTTTCCGGTGTAGTCTCACGGTTTTACTTTCCCATTCTTTACTGGCTGTGCTTTTAAAAAACTCTGGTACTGTGTTATAAGAACTGCATTTTTCATGAGTTCCCAGTAATTGTACGAATGCAGCTTTTTATTGTTCCCCTTAAGTTTCCAAGTAAAGAGCATTTACCTCAGTGCCCACTCATTGCCTTATGAG